GTCCACAAGTATAGATTCTTTTGGATTATTTAGTTCAGTCTTCCATCTAATTCTTAAATCCCCAAAAATCATCCAGGATGTGACTGAGTACCCCAGTAACATAGGGCACCTCCTATTTAGAGCAAGCCTTTGATCTCCATACAACTCTGATCATTAAAACAATGGGCCCTATCTAGTGAGTCCAATTCTGAATTCCTGTAATTTATACCCTTTGATACCCATGTGGTCCCAGGGTTACAAGGAAATCATCTAATCTCTCTTCCTCTGGGCAGCATTTCAAGCCTTTGAAGAGACCACATATGTCCCTACAAGTCTTTTTCTTCTTTTCCCCTGCTTTATTTTCACTAGTTGTTCCTAATAATGATGGTGATGATGACACTGGTAAGAATGACTATCATTTATTGGTTAAATATTATGTTTTTAAGCAATATATATTAATTCATATAAATCTCATAATAACCCCATGTTATAGATGAGGAAACTGAGGCATAGACAGGCTAAATAATGTGCCCAAAGTTATACAGCTAGTATGTAACGGAGCCTAACTTCAGATCCAGGTGGTTTGGCCCCTAAGACTTCCTTCCCCCTTAACACCATTCCTAGGTGACATTCCTCTGATGAGATTCGGGTTGTCGCCCTCTCTGTTAGAATGGCATCCAGAAATGGGTACAGTGCTGTAGGTGCTGTGTGCGGACTGCATTTTTTTACTTAGTAGATTTCTGTCACCAGCACTCAAGTTTCCATTAGCTGCGTGCTGTGCCTCATAAACGCTGAAGCCAAGGGGAGCGCCACACCTTTTTTTTTTCACCAGTGTCCTCAGGCCTGTGCCTCATTCAGTGTGTGGTGCTAACTCAGACCAGCCCAATTTGAAAATCACCACAGCTTTTTCCCAGTATTTGGGTAGCTAAAGCTAAGGACCACATATCATAGAAGAATTCTCCATGTGTGTGACAATTGACAACTTCTGATACAGTAATCAGGGCCATTGTTTCCATCTTTGCATCTTGGGCAGCTTTTGGTAGTTTCTGTTACACTTTGGAGAGCTGGCTGAGTCATATAGCTTCATTAGTAATTGATTTTATAACAAAAGCCTTCTATTTGTTATATCATTTATGATATAATCTCTAATGTTTCCTTTAAGGGTTTGATTAAGCTGAGTATCTTTGTAAAACTACTGACTCATGGTGATTAAATATGGTGGAGAGAAACTGATTAACAGGCAATAAGCCCTGGGATTTTGAGCTATATGAAGGCTGTGTATGTTGAAAGATAGGTAAACAGACAGTTTTCAGAATTCATATTTTATACTGATGCTATTACAAACATATTAGCTAACTCTGAAAAATCATCTTACTTGCTGGGACCTAAATTCAATATCTTGGAAGAAAATAATGCTGTTCATGTCAGTAAGACATAATTGGCTTTCCTTTTGAGTGTTTCGTGTAGCCATCCTTATAGCTAGGTTCCGAAGCTTCTGAGCTTTCAGCTGAACTCTGTGTAAGCCAGTAGCACCCCGTCTGCATAGATTTCACGTTTGTGCAGAGCATTGGCATGTAGAAGTGGGAATGGCACAGCTGATGTGCCCAGTGATGTCCGTGGTTAATAAGAAGTTGCACATATTGCAGTCCTGGCTGGTGTGGCTCAGTGGATTGAGCATCAGCCAGTGAACCAAAGGATCACAGTTCAATTCCGAGTCAGGGCACATGCCTGGGTTGCAGGCCAGTTCCCAGCAGGGAACGCACGAAAGGCAACCATACATTGATATTTCTCTCCCTCTCTCCTTCCCTTCCCCTCTAAAGATAAATAAATAAAATCTTAAAAAAAATTTTTAAAGAAGTTGCACATATTGCCAAAATTTCAAATTTATTAGTTTCAGTGTAGACCACTATACTTCATAGTTTCTCATTCATTCAATGAACAATCAATTGTTCAGTATAAATTTTTATATCTATACCAATAGATCGATTAATCTATTTTATATTAAGTTGATTTTATCATCTATATTAATAAACATCTTAATAGCTATACTGTTTAGATATGTGTATATCTATATAGATATATAGATACACACATATATATTTATGATTATTTTATTAGTTTCCTAGGGCTGCTAGCAAATTACCACAAACTAGTTGGCTTAAACCAAAAAAATTTATTTTCTCATCAGTTTGGAGGCAAGAGTGTGAAATTGGGGGGTGCAGGGCCAGGCACCCTCTGAAGCCTGTAAGGAAGGGCCCTTCCTTGCCTCTTCCAGCTTTGGGTGGTTGCCAGCAATCCTTGGCATTCTTTAACTTGTAACTACCTCACTCCAATCTTTGCATCTATATTCACATGATATTCTTCTCCCTCTGGGTCTTTGTCCAAATGTCCTTCTTATAAGGACACCACTCACTTTACCAGGAATTGAGAGAACTGACTTTCACCATGAAGGCCAGGAGGAGACAAGGAGGGACTTTAGACAGGGTATAGCTTGAGCAACTTTTTGTTTGGGGACCTTGAGTGTGGAGAAGCCTGGAGATAACCAGCTGGGAGACTGGAGGGACAAGCCAGATAGGAAACATGAGGCATCAGAGCAGAGGAGTGTGTGAGAGCCATGGAGGGGCTAGAACCGAAAGGGCATGGCTGCTGAATAGTTAGAGGGGTGTGGAGGAGGGAGGAAGAGGGTGGTTCGGGTGCCTGGGCAGCTGGTACTGCCTTCCCTGCAGGGATACAGGAGGGAGAGAAGACAGGGCTGTAGACAGAGGGTGGTGAAGAAGGATTCAGGCAGTGCTCAGTTAGGAAGCGCTGAACTGGAAGGGCCAGGTGGTGGGCCTCGGTGAGACCTGAAGCCCAGGAAACAGACCTGGCCTGGCAACTCTTGCATATGTTGGTGTTGAGTGAAATCATGGATAATGAGATTTCCCAGCTAGAGTGTATAGAAAAGAAGAACGTAGTTACAAATAGAAGGCTGGATATGAAACCCTGAAAAGCAGGCCAAAAGAAAAAGGCCCAACAAAGGAGACCAAGGAGAATTGGACAAAGAGGGCAGGAATTTGAAAATCTGATATCTTAAAGACAGGGGCCCCCTTTGAACATCATCAATCTGCAGCCACAGGAAGGAAATAAAAGAAAGTGGGAAAGAGGGCCTCTGAGAGGAAGCCTTGGGTACACTTTACACCACGCTGGACAATGGCCTTCCCTGACTCACTGTTGGTCTGTGGTAGGTTATTTTTAAATGCCACTTGTAAAGTCAATGTTTGTACTTTGATAATTGTCCTATCCAATGGCTGGTTCTGAACTCTAACCTGGGAGGGAGGCTACTGTAAGAGCCCAGGAGTGGTATGTGAGAGAGAAGCTGGGTGAGTGAAATACAATAATCCTGTAGCCGCCAGCCTTGATATCCGTGACAGATCAAACAATCCATACGCATTGTGTTCCGCTGCTTGCATCACCTGGTCACAAGTTGTCGGTGGAATTTGTGGAATGGATTGTTCTCGTGGAGTCGCCCCATATCTCTGGACAATGGGAGCACACAGTCTTAGTTTTATATAAGAGCTAAGAAGGAATGTTCCATCCATCTGATCAGAGGCAAGAGCCATGGCTGATGCCTGCCTGCCTTCTCTCTCTTTCTCCTCCTCCCCCTCCTCCCCCCCCTCCTCCTCCTCCTTGTCCTCTCCTCTTTTTAAGGAAGAAAAAAACAGGAACAGAGGGAGGGAAAGAACAGAAAGGTAGATCCATTGTGCAGAAGTCACCAGGAGAATGACATCATGGGTAGGAGGGAAGATAAATATGAAATCTGGGAAATAAGAATACTTACAGGTTTTTACTTCATAGAACATGTTTCTATTTCTTTGAATACTCTTCTAGAAAAAAGGTACTTAAGTATGAGGTACTCACATACGAGGTACTCAAGTAGGGCCACTGTGAGGCCCTACATTACTCCTACAGTGAGATGTCGGCGCTGAGAACGTCCTCTTCTCCAACCGCAACATTTAAGGGTGTTTTGGTTGCATGTAACACAAAGCCCAACTCAAAGTGGGTTAAACAATAAAAGAGACCGATGAACTCATCACTGGGGAGTTCAGGAGCGGTGGTTTCTGTGTCCATCTGATTTATTCACTGGCCAGATGTCTTTACTTTCTACGGTGTCAATTTCACACTAAGGCTGGCTCCCTGTTTCATCTCCAGAGAGAGGAGGCCTGTCCTTAGTGCTGGCTGGATCACCCATGACCAGCCCCTCTGGTCTGGGACATGCCACGTGCTGGACTGGCTGAGGCCCAACTTTCCTGAACCAGCCCCTGCCGCAGCAGAGATGGGCTCACCCCGGAGATGTAGCCACCGGGTGGACAGTGAAGGGAGGGTGGGGCAGAGACTGGGGCATGGACCACAGTGCCGCTGCTGCATCTCCTAACAGGTTCCTTCAAGTTCCTGCACTGAGGACTGAAACCTTAAGAGGGCTTTAAACCTCTCATTCAGAAATCTGAGATAAAATTGAAATAGCAACAGTGAATTAACACTAAAATGTGTTGAGGGAGTAATTTTTTTACTGTTGTAAATGTCAGGTGAGCTGAGATGTCATTTTATTTCTTTATAATTGAATTAACTTATGACCCACCCCCGTCCCCCATTTCTGCTTGATAATAAAAAATTCAAAGATTGAGATTTATCTCAAATCTTTTAAATTTGAGATAAATTTAATTACTTCTGTTTTAAAACCCAGGTTTGGGGGGGGTTTTTTGGTTTTGTTTTTTGTTAATCACTTGTTATTATTATTCAATATACCTTTTTCCGTGTAACTTCAGGCCACCAGGACATAACCCCCAAGCCCCTCTACACACTCGTAATCTTCTCTGCTCTTCTGCTAAAGACTTCGGTCTTCACCACAACAGTCTGCCCTGAGAGCTTTTCCTTCCCAGAGTGCTGGTGTAGCCCTAGAGGCACAGAGGACAGGGTTTGTACACCTGGCTGGTGGGTATGAGGAAAGATGTCTGCCAGCCCTGTCCATCTGGAAGCCAGCAAGGGCACGTTTCTGACTGGGCACTGCTGGATTCCCCGCTGGGGAATCAAGACCAGCAGATTCTCTCTGAAGACTCGAGCACCCCAGGACAAGAGCTGTGTCAGGATGTGACTCTAGTCTCTGGAACCCAGTCTTTCTGGAGTAAATTCTTAGCCCATTTAAGATTTTTCTCCTCTTCCCACTCCCCCCATCCCAACTTTGTTTTTGAACCACCTCTCTAAGGATGATCTCGGTTTTGGTATTCTTATGTACAGTCTTGACATTGAAGGAGTAGGCAACTGTGAGCTCCTCTTGTGAGGAGGCTTCTCCTGAGCTGGCTTCAGCTTTGGGCATCTCTCCTCACTGCCATCCACTGCTGAGGTCCGTGGCTCACCTTGTCCTTTGTCTTCCAGGCTCTTACACCTTCAGGGCAGGGCGTTACCAGTCTGTTGGCTTTCTCGCAGTCAAACCCTCTCCTGGTCTCAGCTCTTCTGTGCTTCTCTGGTGCTGCAGGACACTGAGGTGGAGGTGGTGGGTCTACCTCAGGTGGTCTTTTCAGCTGGACCTGCCCTGTGGCCATTGCCCCTCCCATTGGCAGAGGGCTCCCAGTGAGAATATCTTTTTGTAGGATTTTGAGGTGGGTGGAGATACAATCCTCCTGCCCCAAGGCTCTCAAACCCTAGTGAAGGATCCAATCTCCTTTGCCCCCAGGGTGTGGACTTTCCATTAGCCATCCTAATCAATTGCTTATTCTCTTGCTCTCTTTTGCTTTCCCTCCTTACCAGCAAAGGCTTTTATTTAAATCATTTTTTCTGTTTAACTTGAAGGGCATGGGTAAGCGCCACATAATTTTCATTCTTTTGAATCTCTTGGTTATGGCATAACCCCCTCTAACTTAGTAGTTTTGCTCTAGGCCTGCACATCCACTGCAACCATGTGATTGGGTATATTTTCCTCAGCTTTAGCAACCCAGTAGAACTTTCTCACAAACTGAATAGTATGGCATGCTCAAGCTTTGTTTCCTACTGATTTTGTTCCTGAGATCACATCTGGCACAGTATCTCCTTTGCTGGGGCCCCTGGTCCTATTCTCTTGAGGTGAACTGTGGTATTTGGAAAGCTGATATTCACTGTTTTTCTTCTGAGATTCTCATTTTTAACATTTAAAATGGGGTCTGATCTGAAAAAGCCGTTGCTTCCCAGACAAATGGGAAAGCATTTAGGAGCAAAGGACAGCTGTTTCTGCTGTCAGTGGTGGGCTATTCATATAAGGCACGTATTAACAGAGTGTTAGATGAACATGGGGTAAAGTCTGGCGGAATACGTTTAGTTTGTGGTATTGCGACCTCATGTCCATTTTTTGCCTGTGGGGAGGCTCCTTGGTGAAGAGGCATCTACAAAGTCGAGGTTCTCCTAGAACAAGGCTCAGAGGAGCCACTGTGATGACCAGCTCACAGCCTCTGCTTGACTCTTCATCCCCCCGGGTCTTGGTTCCTTGGATGCTTAACTGAGAGTAAGTGTCACTGCAATGGGTGGGGTTTTCTTAGGGTCAAAACTTGTGTGTAGTTCTGTTATCTTTAGTATATTTAGTTGCCTTTTCACTTTTCTCACTAGACATTGAATCTAACATTCTGAGTGAGGGAGCAGTCACCACCAGATCAAAAAAATTTCTTGGATGAGGAAAAACCTAGAGAAAGATTTTGTCTTCAGGGGGAGGACAGAGACACGAGATCTTTAACTCTCACACCCGTGCAGGCTTCAAACAAACGGAACGTTGAGCAGAGAGGATGGAGTAACAAGTGACACTCAGATGAAAAGCCCTTCTCCCTGTCTGCATGTGCCTCCTGCAGACAAGGGTGGCCACAGGCGGGAGGCTGGTCACTGAACAGCTGGTCCTCAGAGGGACATCCTCCTACCCAGTTTCTCAGGAGTCTCAGATGGAAAAACTGCCAAGGATTATACTTGCCTTCCCACAGTGTGCTGGGTTACATTAACTTATTCTGAAACAGTGACTTCTAATTTTTTTTACATTTTATTTTATTATTTTTTTTATTTTTTAAATTGTTGTTCAAGTACAGTTTTCTCTCTTTTACTCCCATCCCAGCCCACACCCCAGCCCTCCCCACCTCCCTCCCATTTCCACCCCCCTTACTTTTTGTCCATGTGTCCTTTATACTTGTTCCTGTAAACCCTTCCCCCTTTCCCCTGAAATTCCCTCTCCTCCCCCCTCTGGTCTAATTTTTTAGTACTAATTTCATTTCATGGTTTGGAGTCCACAGATGCGGAGGCTGACTGTACACACTGTTCCTTGCCATTTTATCTAAGGGACTTGGGCATCTCTGGGATTTGAGTATCCCCAATTCTTCCCCTGAATTTATATTGGACTCAGGGGCACATTTCCTCACATCACTCTTTTGTAAAATATGTCTAATACTAATTGATGTCTCAGGGTGGTTATTCTGATAAATCGATTGACTTTAGACTACTTGGCACCTGAGAAACATTCCCAACAGGAAGTTATAGTTGTGCGGATGGCAACTAATAGGACTTAAAGCACTGCACTATAATACCCTGACCACCATTTGATTTCCAAACTTCAACTGTAGGAAGTAGAAACCAGATTTGGTAAGACATTTTAAACTAGATATTTTATTAAGCTGACTTAATATTTATAGAAAGCCAGTCCTCAGTAGAAACCAGCTTCTCATTTAATGAATAACCGATCACCATAAAACAAGTGGGGAGAGGCTGGCCAGGAGGCAGGCTGCAAACAATTCCATGTGAGTCACTTGGTTATCGCTTCCCCCCACATTCATCTCCCTCCTTACAGCACAGAGGTTTTGACTGATTGAACTTAGGTTGGGCAAGGATTCCAGACAGGGAAAAGCAAATACATAAGTCAGAGGTCAGGGGAGAAGAATAAACCAGAGGAGGGGAAGAAATGCCGAGCCGATAATTGAAAGATAATAGATGTAGGGGTGGGTTTCAACAGCACAAAAGCAGGGAGCCAGACACCATGAGGTTTTTCAGGCATCTGCTCAAGGCCCAGGGTTACAACCCATCTTAAAAGAAGGTCTATGGAGCATGGGTTTCTAAATATTTGGGCCACCCAGCATGGAATTTTGGGAAATGACACTGTTGAGTAAAGCCATTAACAAATTGCTTTCCTTCCATTTCCTTCACTGGCAGGACCTTCTGTTTATGTCTCCTTAGCAGCAACTGGAAGGAGTAAATTTGCCGACAAGCATCTGTGTGGAGTGGGCAACCTGATGGAATTTTTATCAGGCAAAAATGATCCCAGATGACTAGGTGAAAGATTGCCAGGAATGTCTGGAATCTCATTAACCCTCAGTTGAGCACACAGAAGTTTCATTTAGGGTAGAGTCAAGGTGAGGAACTTATTAAAGTAAGCTGAACTGATTCCTTTGCTTCTATAAATATTTGAGCTTTGTAATAGGCATCCATTCCCAGCTTGCTCTCAAGAGTATTGGAAGCTAGAAATCAGTGATACCATGGGCCAAAGATAGGTTTTGGAGTTAGATTTTTGACTGGACACAGAGCTTCACTATTTACTAGAGATTTATTAGAGATTACGACTTAATCCCTCCATGCCTGGGTAATCTCATCTGTAAAATGGATGTGTAACCATCCACATCCCACAGGTTATACCAGATAATGAAGCAATTAGACTTTGGTCTTAGGAGAACTTCAGAGTTTAAATATTATTTTTCTTTTCTCTTTTATTTCAACTTCCTTCCAATCCTGCTCCAGCAATTTTTTAATTTGAAACAGCTTTTGCTAAATGTATGAACAGTGGAGGAGACCTGCAGGAGGAGAGGGAGTGGGCCCTGTGGTTACCCGGGCAAAGGTGTTCCAAACAGAAAACCCCATCAAGTGTAAAGATCACACAGTAGACGTGTACTTGAACAGCTCAGGGAGTCTCGGGGAAGCCAGGGTGTCTAATGCAGAGTAAACCCAAGAAAGAGTGACAGAAGCAAAGGTCAAGGAGATACAAAGGGGAAATTGTGTGATTGTGTAGGGCCCTGAAGGCCATTAGGAGGACTTGAGCTTTTACTCTAAGTGGGTTGGGAAGCCATTTGATGGTCTTACACTGAGGAGTAATGTGTTTGACTTAGTTTTAGTTTTAAAAGGCTGCTGTACTGAAACATATTACAGGATAGGTATTAAATCACCTGTTGGGCACCTTAAACTGATATATGTTACATGTCAATATCTCAGTAAAGCTGGAAAAAATAAGAAGAACGAAGGAAAGAAAATACATTATGGGGTAGGGATGTGGAGTGAGCACACAGGCAGAAGTGGGAACACCAGTCGGGCCCCCACCAGGAAATCCAGGTAGGAGAGGTGACGCCGTGTCAGAGCCAGTCAGCAGTGTCAGTGCCAGTCAGCAGTGTCAGTGCCAGTCAGCAGTGTCAGTGGTGAGAAGTAGTCAGATCGTGAACATGTTTCGGAGACAGCAATTTAGGCTTTGCTGATGGATTCAATGTGTAATGTGGGAGAGACTTCTTTAAAGTTTTTGGTCTGAGAAATTGGAGTGATTTTGTTCGTCATAAAAGAGAAAGTTCAGTAGAACACCAGAAATTTAATTTTAGTCTTATAAAATTCGAGATGCCAAATAAACATTTAACAGCAAGCAATTGAATATATGAGCCTGAAGTATAAGCTATAGAGAGAAAAGGGAATACAGCTAGATGAATATGTAGGATTGGAAGTCTTTTTTTAAGGTGGGAGAAATAATAGAATTTTTTTAGTGATAAGAATAATCCAATGGAATGGGAAAATGTAGTAATGCCTGAGAGGAGACAATCTGTGGGATAGTGGATTTGAGTAGGTGATTGAGGATGGGATCTTGTGCACAAGTAGGAACATCCTATAGTTGATTCATCCTTAGTAACAGAAAAGATGATAAAGTATTTGTAGCTATAGTGGTCCACCTGGTGGTATGAGTTTGAGGAGTCGTCTTTTGATTATATCTGTTTTCTTGCTGAAAATAGGAAGCAGTCAGAGTGAAAATGGTGATGAAGCACTGAAGGCCTCAAGAGAGTGACAAAGCTATGAAACTGACCAGGGAAATAAAAGAATGAGTGGATTTTGGATTGCCAAGTGAATGAATTTACAATTGCCA